TAGGTAATAGTTTCATCTTTGTTTTTGTTAAAAATGAAAATTTCAAAAGAGAAAGAATGAAAATAAGATAAATAATTAAAAAGGAGTAAAAGGGAAAAAAATAAATGATAAAAATGATACCATGACAATATATAGATAATGTGATGGTATCATTACAAATTGAAGCAAATAGAAAATATAAGAAACAAAAACAATTTTTTAAAAGATGGAATGAGAAAAAATAAAACATAAATAAAATTAAAAAATAAAATATAGAATAACCAATAATATGAAATTAAATTGTGGTAAAAATATTAAAGAATATTATGATTTAAGAAAATGAAAGGAAAAGAAAGAAAAATAATAAAGAAGAGACAAAATCAGAAAAAGAAACGAAAAGTAAGGAATAGGAAAAAAGGTAAATCTTACCAAACAACATAAAGAAAATTAGATGAAAAGAGAAACAACATAAATTTATCAAAAAATAATAGTAATGAACAACTAGAGAGAAAAAAGAGATTACAAAAAAGAGTTGGTTCCACGGTTTAAGAAAGTGGGAAAATGGTGCACAATTTAAGGACCACAAATCATGGTGGAAAAATATCAAATTAAATTATTTTCCCTATTTGTGGTGGATAGGGCAGTCTAGTAAAATATTTGGCAAGTGCATCCAATAAGGTTAAATATGTTGGATTGGGTCCAATTTGTGTGGTTTTCCCTTTGTATTATGTATCAAATGTATTTGTATTTTATATCAACTATATTTTGTATATGTATCAATTGTATACGTATTATGTATCAATTGTATTATGACAATTTGTATTCTGTCAATTGTATTTGTCGATACAAATCGTGTTTGTTAATACATTTGATACAATTATATTCGATATATGATACAAATCAATTGTATTCACACAATTATATTTATATAAAAAAAATTTCTATCAAATGTCTTTGTATTCTTTATCAATTGTATTCGTTATACAACAAATACACATGTATTCACCCTCTCTCCTCCCTCTCTCAATCTCACTCGCTCTCCTCCCTTTCTCAATCTCACACGCCTCTCTCCTCCTAAAATGAATATAAATCACCTTCATTTTGATACAAATCAGTTGTATCAATTGTATTTGTGATACAACCTAATACAACGAATACAACAAACATTCAACCTGTCTTCTCCCTCTCCTAGTCTCACTTGTCTCTCTCTTTTCCTAACATGAGCTATAATTCATTATTAAGCAAAACTATAATTATAGATCTCCAATTAAACCCAAACTATAGTCATTTTTGAAAGTTTCCTATCATGTAATAGTCGAAGTAGTTACTATAAAGGAAAGTTTACTTGAATGCAATAAATAATTACTGATTTTAGCGATAATTTTTATTTATTACCATTTATAGTAATACATAACAATACTATGTTAAATCTGCAATATGTATTAAAAGTGAATTATGTATGCAATATATATGTATTATAACTGTTTTTAAAAAATATATTATGCTTGTTTGGTAAGAAATTGACACATTATATTATAAGTATATTAAAATGTGTTATAAATGTTTTATTTATCAATAAAACTTGTATTAGATGTGAATAATAAATTGTTGTTTGTAATATGTATTAAATTGTATTATAAATGTATTAAAAGTGATCAAGTGAAAAAAATGTTATTGCTATAAATGATAAATATTTTTTTAATATAGTATATTTATGTAAGTTTCCCCACTATAAATAGCTAATTCTAGAGTTCACTTCACAAGTCTAGATTTTAATGAAAAAGTATGAATGTGACTACTAGGTGAGTGAATAGGTAATATCCCTTCTATCTGTTTAGTGAACCCATTTGGAATTTCCTTATTATGGATTCATTTTATGAGTTCAAACTCTTCTCCCTCGAATTGATTATCCTTTCTTCTGTTTTAATTTCTTGTGTTATCCCCTTTATCTTATCTTGTTTCTTCACCTGTCTATTCTATTTGCTTCCGCATACTTCAGTTCGTATCAATTTTTAACTAAAACTAGACATGTTTTTCTTCTTCAAATTTTTGGGAACCCTCTTGAGAGTCTAAAGAGCCCACACTAGTCTTTTTGTCTTATGCCATACATATGGTTTCCCTAATAGGAGAAGTCAAGAAAGACATCGTCCAAACAGTTTCATAGTTTTCTCACAAGATTCTTCATAATAAATAATGGACTCACTTCTTTAAGTCTTTTTGCTGTTTTAAAATTTCACATTTCAATAAATTTCAATCAAATAGGAATGATTTGGTCTAAATATAGCAGAGCTGCTATCTGAAAAGCCTGACCGAACAACAATTGGAGCAACAAATCCACCACCGGCTGTGGCAGAAGCTCCAAATCCACCAGCAGATGTGGCAGCAGCTCCAAATCCACCAGCACCTGTGGCAAGACCCAGACTGGAAAACCCGCCACCAGTAGAAGAAACTCCAGAAAACCCACCTCCGAAACCACCAGCAGAGCTATTGCTCATAAAACCTCTCCCAAAAGAGATTGCAGATCCCACACCAGTTCCAGGTATCCCAGCACCAAGCTACCTTGATTGTCCAAAAGTCCCAAGAATTGAACCTAAAGCGTGCTGCTCTTGTCCAACCTGAGCCGGCTGGCCAAACCCAGTCACTGCTGGAGCCTGACTCGTGGAAGTGAGGCTGAAGCTACTAGGAAAGGTACCAAAATTGGCAGGTGATGATGGTTGACGTGGATGTATCGGTTGAAAACTAAATGATGCTAGTCGAAATAACTCACCGCCGGAAGCTGTACTTGTAAATAAGGAGCTTGCTGGAGATGAAGCTTTATTCAGTGACACTGCACCAAATGGATTAGGTTTTGTAGAAACTGGAGCAGCAGCAGTTCCAATACCAAACCCAGCTAGGTTACCAAGTGCATTCACAGTCATCTGACTATTCTCAGGAGCTTCCTCTTCCATCTCATCCTCATGGCTGACAACATATGAATAACCACTCTTCACATTAATTGCACTATCAGCCCCTGATGGTGGAATGGAAGAAGCAGAAAGTGGCTGTCCAGGTATAGTATTCAAGCCGACATTTGAGACTTGACTTGATGCCTCACGAAGATTGACCTGATCTGCAGATTTCAAACTGGCAGACGGTTCATTTGTGTAATTTGATTGGACCAAAGGTTTAGCTTGTAAATTAGACACACTTATAGATACCACAGGCTGTGAAGCTGAATCTTGTAGTGTATTGGTCTTCGTACTTGGATTTACAAGTGAAGCTGGTGTGTCAGAATTTGTATCTGCCTTTCTATCATGGAAACTGAAGGCTGATACAGGATTGTAGGGGACGCGGACCTTGTCCTATCTGAGGAAGGAATAATGGGTAAGGAATCCAATTTTTGAGTGCTTGGAAGAGATGAAGACTGCGTCAGAGAAGCAACTGATGATTGAGATTGAGAGTCCTTTTGATTAGAACCCATATTGGCTTTAGAAATGGACCACGTAGATGATATTGTTGACAACATTGGCCTTTGTGAAGAAGATGAAGATGCTGATGGCATGATTTTTGCTTGTGACAAGGAACTCTCTGTTGATGCTTGGGAAGAAAATGAAATCTCATTACCCTGTCTTTTATTTACAACTTCTGAGTGTATGACCTTCACAGACAGAGTGAAGGCAGAATTAGCAGCAGTAGCAGTTGGTAAGGAATAGTTAGGACTACTGTCAGATTCAAACTGTGTGCTTCCACTTGTCATAGGTGCATTCTTCCAATCTCTGACAGGTTGGGTGATTCCAGGTTTACCATCAGCATTTGAAGTCTCAATTGTAAACTTGATTGGGGTCAATGTCTGTGCAGGAGGACTTGACGTGTTTGGCTACTGCATTTTGTTCCCTGATTGCTGAATGCAGGGGCGGCTCAAATCCATTGGTGGCCTAAGTTCAAAATCAAACTAGAGGCCTTAAAAACAAAATTATAAATGTTTTTATTTTAAATTTATTTTTCTAGCTTTTTGAGATGCAAAGTTATTAATAATTTTTGTGTATTCAATCTCTTCTAATAATTCTTTTTCAATCGATAATATAGTCAAACTACTTAATCTTTCTTGAGACATTATTGATCTTAAATAAGATTTTATTATTTTTAATTTTGAAAAACTTCTTTCGGCTGAGGCGACTGTTACGGGAATTGTTAACATTATTCTATAAGCAATGTAAGCATTTGGAAAAGAATCAAGTCTTTTTATTTGATTGAGTATCTCAATTAGAGTATTGCCTTCTACTTTTATGATTTCCCTTAACACTTTTAATTCAGAAAATAAGTCTAAACCGTCAATATCGGAGTGAGTATTATGTTTTAAGGAACATTCAAGATTAAGACAATATTTTTTTAAATTCTCATCATCTAATGATCTCAATTTTTTCCCACTAAATAAAAAACCAAAAATATTTTCATATACTTCAAATTGTTCAAATCTATTTTGAAGTGAAAAGGTGACTTGGTCTACTATGTATAAGAAGTAATCAACTCTAAATGATTCTTCAAGAGATCTTGTGATTTCATTATCAACATTCTCATCAAATTGTTTTTTTTTATAAATTACACGTTTCTTACGAAATACAGGTTCAATATTCATCTCTAATGTAATTTCCTTAGCCGAAATCATAGCACTTGTAAATCCTTCTTCTCTATATGTTTTAAGAAAAGAAACTAAACCTCTTAATTGATCTATAGCGACATCAATATGCATATCTTTTTATTGTAAACTTTTGCTAATTGAATTTACAGCAAATAGTACATCATACCAAATAGTCATACCCAATAAAAATTCAAAATTTTCAAGCTCAAAAATTGCTAAACAATTAGCTTCACTTTTTATTTTTGGATCATCACTAACTTCTTCTAATTTAAATAAAGCATCTCTTATTTGTGGAGTTTGAAACCTTATTGCTTTAACACTTTCAATACGACTTTCCCACCGTGTTTGTAACAATGATTTAAGAGTTAAACTAGGTACACTATCTTTTAAAATTTTCCACCGCTTAGTAGACGAAGAAAATTCCTTGGTGTTTTCCCTTCATATTAAACCCATTATCATATCCTTGTCCTCTTAAATTATCAATATCAAGTCCAATACATTTTATTTCATCTAAAATAACTTCAAAAAGACCTTTTCCACTTGTATCATCCACTTTTAAGAATTCTAAGAAATATTCGGTTACATTTATTGGAGTTGTCGAAATATCTACAATCCGTATTATAAAAGACATTTGGTCTTGATGACTTGTATCTGGCGTGCAATCAAGTATGATAGAGAAATACTTTGTTTTTATAACTTTTTCAATAATCTTGTTCTTAATTTCACTTGCCAATAAATTTATTAATTCATTTTGTATATTATGTCCAAGATAATGATTATGAATTTCATCATGTTTGATTCGTCGAATATGTTCTTGCATAATTGGATCAAATTCTGCAATCATTTCAATAAGACTCAAGAAGTTTCCGTTATTTTCTTGATAGATTTTTTCATTTTCCCCCCTAAATGCCAAATTATTTCTTTCAAGAGTTTTTATGACAAAAATAATTCTTGACAATACATTTTTCCAATGTTCTCTATCTCTATTAATTTGGTCTTGAATGTTTTTATCGATCGTTTTATTATTATGCAATCTAAATTCTAAATCAATCCATGAACTCATATTAGTAATATGTTGGTTAGTTGTTTCATGGGTTCTAAGCTTAGTAGTAAGATTTTTCCAATCTCTACTACCTTCATTAGCTAACTTATTATTCTTTGCATTAAAGGTCGTATTAAATAACTTACAAAAAAACAAAATATCTTATTCAAATATTTGGAATAAACGAACCATCTTCTTTCATGTCTTTCTCCATTTGCCAACTTTTGAAAATAATATGTAGTAGAAAAGTGCCTTAAAAATTTATCCTTTGGAAAACATGTGTCGGTAATTCTAATTGGTCCCTTTTCTACTAATAAGTCTCTTAACTTTGTATCAACAATATTCCATTGACTAGGATCATAGATATTTTTAGGAGTATGATTATTTAATTCATTTATAAGTTCTTGATTTTCTTGGGAATCTACATCCGACTTTTCACTAATTTCCTCTCCTTCTTCTTTTTGATTTATATCATTATCTAACTCAACTTCTACTAAGTTTGTAACTTGTTCTTCTAAAGAGCATTCCGCTACCTTTTTTGATTTAATTTTATCATTGTTTTCCAAAAATTTATCAAGAGCACCTTTTTGAGATTTTATCAAGTTATCGACTTTTCTTTTTTTTTTTAAGTTTTGAATGACCGGATTCATATTTTCTAGTTGACATATTAAAATCTAACAAATATTTTAAACACAATTTACAATATCAAATAAAAAATATAATAAACATAAGACACGAAACAAAAATAATATTAGAAATTAGAATGATATTACCGAATTCAAAAGCTATGAAGACTTGATTTCCGAAAATGAATCGGGCTGCTGCAATATAGTTTTCTCCAAATTTAAAATATAAACTATCAATATAACAAGTAAATTTTTTAGCTTTGAATAAGAGAGATGTAAGATTAGAAAAGAGAAAGTGAGAAGAATAGAAGGGAGGAGAATAGAATATATAAAAATAAAATTAGAAAAAAAAGAAGGTAAAAAAAAGAAGATAACTTGTACATTAAAAAAAAGTACACAACTTTTTATTGAAAAGTTAAAAAGTCATAGTCATATCTATGATTATCACTTCATTTAGTCGTTTACATTTATTGACTTAGCTCTAACAATTTTTTTTTAAAAAAATTACTTTCCTAATTAACTAAAAAATGGGGCCTTTGCATTTATTGTCTTAGTTCTAATTTTTTTTAAAATTTAATCCTACCTATTAACTAAAAAATGGACCCCCCAATTTGCCAAGGACATTTTTACAAGCCTTACCAACCGCCCCTGGCAGAATGGCCTTTGGTCCACCTATTTGCACAATATCTTTAAGTGATATTATGCTTCTCCTTGATCTTGTCGTAGCAAGATTGGGAGTATCTACCAAACTATATTGGCTAGTGACTGCAGTCAACTGTGATTCATGCTGCAGTAAAGAGACTGGAGAACTCATTGGTGGTGTGTCAGTTGCATGTCTCGAAAGTCCATCCGCCCATTGGAAAAAAGGATTTCAGTGGACTGTTTTGCTGGTAAATCATGAAGACCTGCATATGTTTTAGCAAAATATATTAAAATTGCATTACATCAATTCATTGAACACACATTCAGCATATTTATTGGTTTAGGTTGGGAACCTTCGCCTCTAACTTGCTGTGAAGAGGTGGAAGAGGCATTAAAGTTATTCAATTGAGCAGTCACTGGTCTCTCTCGCGTCTTAGACTGGTGATGTTTCTGATCCAGTGACAAAGATGCTTAAGTTTCTCCTCTTATTTGAATAGATGCTTAAGTTTCTCCTCTTAATTGCAAGTTCCCAACTATCTACCCCACACCAACCTACATAATTTACTCAACCTAGTCAAATAATAACAGACAGCAAAACATAACAGTCTTTACTTTTGTGCTTAACTATGTAATCTAGGATTCAGAAAGCCCGATAACTTGTCTTTCTTTTTCTTTTGCAAAATATTTGTAAGTACATATACCCTTCCATTGTACTCACTTTTTTAAATAAATATTTTTATACAATGCATATTATTTTCAATATACCAAACCAAACAATGCATAAGAAATAATCTATGCATAAATAATACAAATATAACTAATACAAGCATTACTAATGCACGCATTACTAATACACTCTATTGAACATTATTTTTATACACTTTACCAAACGACCACTCTTAGATCTTCACTCCCACTTTATTACCAACTTGTTGGTTTTTTAAAAGATGGGGCAGCAAAAAAAGGGTTGGAAATGTCTATCAATAATTTTCTTAAGCATAGGACTTTAAATAGCCAACTTACAACAAAAAATCTGCATAATTTAAAATTCAAAAAACCTAAAATATCTCAACAAACTAACAATCTAGTAAAAAATTAAAATTCAAATCATTCTAAACCTAAGCAACTTAATTATTAGGCTAAAAAGGCAATTACTACAGTAACTTAAAAACAATTTTCAACCCTCCTCATTTACTTTAGTTACTGCAAATTCAAAAAGTTGCTCCTCAATTATTTTTTTGATAGTCGATGCTGAATTCTTTTGATTATGTTGAACTTGCACAATTTTTGATATTGATCTTTCTCTTCTTTTTTTTCCATCGGTTTTGTGCTTAAAAACAACCTCAAGAATCTTGTCCTGTTTTAAAGCTCTTTTGAAAGTGCTCTCATCTGGACAATGATAGGATTTGCAAGGAGTTGTTTCAAGGATTGATCTTCCATCATAACATCCCATAAAACATAGGTTCTAAAGTATGGTTTCATTCTCACCCACCAAATTTAATAGTTTTCATCGGTAAAAAATTGTGGGGCATTGAAAGAGAGATTGTTGCTTGTCATGGTTGAAAAGTGGGTTAAAATTGATATTGGTTAAAAACAGTATGTGCGTTGAAAATAACCGTGATGGGTTAAAAATAGTGTTTTAAAAGAACTCAAATATCCCTTCAGATCAAGGAGGCTCTTCATACCAATGTTAGTTTTTTCAAAAGACGGGGTAGCAAAAAAAGGGTTGAAAATGTCTCTAAATATTTTTCTTAAGCATAAGAGGGGGCTTTAAATAGCAAACTTACAACAAAAATCTGCATAGTTCAAAATTCAAAAAATTAAAATATCTCAACAAACTAAAACAACCTAGTAAAAATTAAAATTAAAATTATCCTAAACCTAAGCAACTTATTATTAGGCTAAAAATAAAATTATTGCAGTAACTTAAAGCAATTTTCAACACAACCTATGTGTGGTTACCCCAATTTCCAACAACCTAGTGAAGGTCCCTGTAATTCCATACATGTTAGGTCTTCTTTTTGCTCTACAATCAATGGTTAATGCCACCAAAGTTGCATCCAAGATCTGCCTACCTTCCACAAAAGTATTATGTGAAGATGAAACAGTCTCATTCAGAACCTTTTTAAGTCTATTAGAAAGCACCTTAGATATGATCTTGTAGATGCTTCCCACTACATCAATAGGCCTATAGTCCCCAAGGCGCGTAGCTCCCTCCCGTTTAGGAGTACTAAAAATGAATGAAGCACTTAAGATCCTCTCGAACTCCCCTCTTTCATGGAACTCATCAATGGTCTCCATAATATTGCTCTTAACTCTACTCCAACAATGTTGGAAGAACGCCAAAGTAAATCCATCAGGGCCTAGGGCCTTCCCTTATACTACACAGTTGTGTTAAAAGTCACTTCCTCATGTGCACAATGAGTGAAATAATGAGGTTTAAAGTGGTCAGATCATCAATATATAACAACAACAACTATTCATACCAAAATATGATATTTTACACAACAAAGCAACAACCCACCTAAAGGTGATCCAGGTGTCAACTTGGAAATGGAAATTTCATTGGCATCTCAAGAGAAGGCTAGAATATTACCCGATCAAGTGAGTCACAACATCTCCTTGCTGTCTCTGGTTCAGAGCTCTTCACAGGACTTGTCTGCTTTCTCCTGGATCATTCTTTAACATCAAGAAAGACTGCTACTGCCTTGTTGAAAGGTGTATTTACAACCTTTTCCCTAACTGGAGACTTGTAAGAGGCACCATCATAGGATAGACCAATTGTTTCAAATAATTCCTTCCTAACATTCTGACCTTTTGCAGGATAATGTATGCTCAAATCAGTCACCAGTTTTGAGTGACTTTCAGAAAGTTGTTCTTCTACTGATAGCTGTGTATTCATTGTATTACGTAAATTGTGCAAGGACTGGAAATTCCTGAAATGCAAATAGCTCCAACGTTCACCCTAACTTTAATCACTAAAGATGAAAAAAAAAGTTTTGGTACAGAGGGAATGCATGATGGAGAAGCAAATTTATTATTCTCGTGAAGGAAAGTTGGAAGCAATACGTGCAATGATATTGAAGTGAGAGTATAAAGTAGACAATCATAACCAAGATAAACCTATTTGTGTATCGAAAGACAACGGGAAAAACCCAATACCTAGGTTGTCCACTGCTCTGGAAACCCCTTTTACTTGTTTGTATCCCGTCAGCGTCACCAAACTTATTCAACTCAAGATTGTTAAAATGTCTATCCAATTGAATCAGCTGGTTTGTTAAGCTCTACAAAAAAGAGAAAATTCAAGTGATGAGGAAAACATTAGGAAGGGAAGGAACAAAAGCATTAACATTGATCATTCTGATGGCACCTTATTAACTTCGTTTACATGTTGCCTCTTTAACTCCAGTTCAAAAGATAATTTTTGGCGATTCCAAAGATCCCAATACCGTTGATCAGTAACTTGCTTAAATATTCCTTCCATGTATACTTTCTTCGCCAAAACTGGAAATTAAAAAAGAGAGAGGATACATCATAATGATGGCATCAATGTCATCAACAATAATAACTACGCCTCAATAAGTTGGGATCACCTATATGAATCCCTACTTCTTCATTTAAGCTCATTTGATATCATCAGCATACTCAATATAATTTATCCTATAGAAAATCTAGTAACAAGAAGATTTAATCAGAATTATAAACTCTTGTGGAAAATGAAATTCAAAAAGAGCATAAATAAATATGAAACGA